CCATGCTCTACTCTCTTGTTTGTAGTCTATACTTATATTTCTCTCTCTTCCCATTCATTGAAATAGTCTTACATCCTAAATTAGAGGTTATTCTTAATATATCTATTGAAATGATAAGATATCCATAAAAATTACCATAAAATAATAAATTTTGTTTAAAAAATAAGCAAACCAGAACATAAATATCTGTAAGAATATTGTCCCTTTAACGAAAAGTTTGGAGTGATATTCATGTAGGCTTTGGAATTAATTTAAGAGCCACTTTGCAAACTTCACAAGAAAATATTTTGTTTAAAAAATAAGCAAACCAGAACATAAATATCTGTAAGAATATTGTCCCTTTAACAAAAAGTTTGGAGTGATATTCATGTAGGCTTTGGAATTAATTTAAGAGCCACTTTGCAAACTTCACAAGAAAACTCACCCTGCTACCTTACAGTAAAGCTTCCTTTTTCACCCAGATTACTATTACTCACCTAATTCACCAGACCTGATGCCAAATTTCCTTTGATAGTTTCCACAGTTCACAGCAGTCCTGAGAAGATAAAAATTTATCCCACAAAGGATTTGTATAATGTCAAATGAATGTGGGACATATCCTGAAGACAGTTCTGAAGGAGAATTGCAAAAATGTTTTTGAGTAATGGAAGCATAATTAAAATAAGTCTATAGTGTCTATAGTTCCCAAGTACTTCAGAAGGGAAAGCCCCTTTTGGATGGGTAAGTTCCCTTGTTTCAGGTAACAAATTGAACTTACTATTTTATAGTAACATCATAAGAGCCAACTCAAAAGTTCTGTTACTTGAGTTAAACTATGTTCTAGTACATAGCATGCTTAAAACTTCTAATCTGTATATGTGGAAAATATGCTCTTTATAATAACAAGGCATCTGTCTTATTGTCTCTAGGACTGTACTTGATAAGAAAGAGCTACTGGAGTTTGCTCAACTTGGCTGTTACTTGGAATTTGATCTCTTTGGTACCCAGCTCCTTCATTACCAGTTCAATCCGGATATTGACATGCCTGATGATAACAAAAGAATTAGAAGGTAAATATGATGAAATCTCTCATAGCGTTCCCTTTTACTAGCTCTTTTTGATTGTCATATCTGGGTGAGTATTAGCAAAGATTCAGAAAACAGTAAGCTGGCTGAACCATAGACTTGCAGAGAAAAATATATCTATGCTGTTTCAGGGAGAAAAATCCCTATATATTATTTCAAGGAGAAAATGAGTCATCCTCAGTAAGCTAAAGCTAAGGAGAGACTTAGAAGTTTAATGCAGATGGGCAGCTGACAAGAAACACAGATAATACTCAACCCCTGCATGACAATAAGAGAACAAAAGATATTTTCCTCCTTTTACCCCTAATGAAATAAGTTGTTTCTTCTCCAGGCTGACCACACTAAAGTCATAACTTTCTACAATAATATTTGAAACGCTTTACTAAAAGTATTCATTAAACAGGTGACTAGAACTTAAATGCTAGAAGTAGAATGTCTGAAGACCAAACATCATATAAAATGCAACTTCCCAAAATTGTCTAATATGCAATGAAAACAAAGTAGGAGTCATTCTTTGTAGTCAGGTGGACAAGTTAGGGAGTCAAGGATGGCTACCTGGTTTATTCTTGGTCACACAGGATATGAAGATTGAATGTATTAACTTAAGGAATCTGGTAGGAGAAATAGATTTGGGATTGTCACAGAAGACTTTAGTTTGGGAATATCTAAGTGTTGCTATCCAGTGGAGCCTTTAGATAAGAGCGTGAAGCTCAGAGCAGAGATTCGGGCTATGACATAAATCTAGACATCATTGGTTTGTATGTAATAGTTTGAACCATGGGAATGAATGAGATCACTTAGGGAAAAGGAAGAGGACAGAGACCCGGGGACACAGACACTTAAAGGATGAAGTCAGGAATAATCACTCAAGGAAGAAGTTTTCAAAGTCGTAGTATCAGGGAAATGTGTTGTCATAGAAGTTGGTGGAGAAGAATGCTTAAAGCAGAAGGGCTTGAACACCTGTAATATGTGGCAAATGTCAAGTGAGATAAAGACTGAAAAGTGTTCATTGGACTTCACAATTAGGAATCTGTCATTTCACAAACAATAAGTGCAGTCTTGGTAGAAAAGGCTTGAGGAATGAGTAGGGGATGAAGAAGAGGAAAGAGAATGTGGAGGTGACTCGTTCAAGAGGCATGATAGTAGAGGACAGCAGGGATGTGGGGCAGAAGTAGATGACAACACAGGATCAGGAGAAGCTTCTGCGAATAGCTGGGCAATGTTTATGTGGCTAAGAGCAAGAGCAAGAGCAGAGGGAGAGACAGAGAGAATGAATCCAGGGAAGTACAGGTTGAGCATGACTAATCCGAAAATCCAAAATCCAAAATGCTCCAAAATCTAAAACTTTTTGAGCGCCAACATGATGCTCATTGGAGCATTTCCAATTTCAGATTTTCAGATTAGGGATGCTAAACCAGTATGCATTCTACAAATATTCCAAAATCTGAAAAAAATCCAAAATCCAAAACTCTTCTGGTCCCAAGCATTTTGGATAAGGGATACTCAACCTGCAGTGCCATTCCATGGGGTTGTTACAGAATTAATATGAAATAGAGTATGTATTTTATCTGAGTATCTGGTGCAGAATACAGAAGTGTTCAATAGATGTTGACTTTAAAAAATCTAGAGAGATGAGAAATATAGAGCCAGGCTCCTAAGGAATCTGGGGAACAAACAGAAAGTTGTTGGAAAGGATACTTTCTGCATTGAAATGAAAGAGCATAAGGCAAGCAATGATTTGCATGTAGATAAATGTCTTAGGGAGGGGAACAGGAAACTGAGGACACACAGTCATGTGTTCTTTAGTGTCCCTGTGAAGTAGACATGCTCATCAACTGAGAAAGAAAAAATAGATTCAGGGCAGGCCCTTGTAGAGCAATACAAAGGTTAAGGATGACTGTTGGGTGAATGACAGAGATATTGACAAGAATGTGCTGTGTGTGAGGCCCAGTTGAGGCTGCAAGTCATGATTATTTAACTGTATATTGGCACCTATGGGCATGACCTGGTGATTTTTTTTTTTTTAATGTTTTGTGTTTTGGTAGTTGGACCAGGAAAGCGTTGTTGGTAGAAATAGAAAGTGTGAATGGTTAGAGATTGAGGGTTGGGATTCTACCTGAAAGATGCAGTTGATAGCCAGAGGAACAGAGGAGGGGTTGAGATTGAGGGTCATGGGATCCGAGCTGGAAGGAAGAAAGTGTAGAGAGGAGTAGGCAGATATATAGAAATAACACAGCAGGGCAAATAACTGGAGGCTTTAATGGTTGATTATATGAGTGTAGAGTAGAAGAGGGCAAGTGGAAAAATTAGAAAGAGGTAGCATGATCAGAGTGGGAAACTGAAGATGGAGATTTTGGAGAGGGAGAAGTTCTCTATAATGATGAGGACCAGAATATGGTTATGAGGGTAGAAAACTGGTTGGAATAGGAGTAAGCAAAACTGGAATTGAGAAGTGATATCCAGAAACCATGAAGCTCAACTATTGATAGGTGAACATACCCACATTGGAATCGAGGGGAAGATCTTGAGCCAGTGGCCACAGTTTGAACATTCTTAGACTCTTTTCCCTGGGAAGTTGACCTGTATAATCTGTATGACTCCTGATGTCCCTGTGGTTTGGCATTCTTCCTTGATGGCCTCAACAGTCAAATATGCTTCAAGTTTAATGTCATTAGAGAGCTAGTTGATAAATGTTACACTTGTTATGTAAGGAGATGACACACAACTCTGCAAGAGCAAACTGCTTCAACTGACTTGACAATGAAGCGAGGTCTTTTTTTTTTTTTAATACTCAAACCAATTTTTTGACAAACATGACTTTGGCAAGTACGTTTCCCTAGGACCCTACTAGTTTGTGCATACTTAGAGGTAACTATTCTTTGCTTAAATGCATCTGGAATTTAAAATGGGGTGGTGTGGTAGGTTTTTCTCATCTTTCATGATCTCAGGAACATGGTTTCCTGATGAATGCCCTCAATACATGTTCTACGATTCATCTTGGAAATATGGGAAGTTTGCACTTAGGATCTGTTTCCTTTTCCTAAGCCTCTTTGAGGCAGTGCAGTGTATCATTTGCACCCCATGCCTTCCATGGGGCCCGCAGACCTTCTGGAACAAGAGAGAGAGAGAACCTTTAAAGTGCGATCTGCAGAGGAGATATGAGACAAGGATGACCAATGCCTCCTCCAACATTTCTTCTTAGCAGCTTTTGGTTATTAGCTCAGGAATGAGAACTTCAATCCTTCCATGGGGCCCGCAGACCTTCTGGAACAAGAGAGAGAGAGAACCTTTAAAGTGCGATCTCCAGAGGAGATATGAGACAAGGATGACCAGTGCCTCCTCCAACATTTCTTCTTAGCAGCTTTTGGTTATTAGCTCAGGAATGAGAACTTCAATTTGGTTAGCTTTTATTGTGCCAAGTGTAAACATTCTGGATGTATGGAAATACGTCAAGAATTTTATATATGTGTGTGTATGTGTGCATGCATGTGTGTGTTTGCATGTGTGTGTGTGCGCTTAATCTTCCTTAAATTAAAAACATGCATTAGGCCACTTCACCCAAGTACAGCTCATGTTAATTACTGAATGACGTTTTGGGTGTTGTGTGCTCCAGTGTCCCATTTTCCCCCACACCCTGGGCACTTGGTTTTCATCATTCATCTGCAGTCCTTTTCTGAGCCATAGTAGTCTAAACCTCTGAAGTGCAAGAACATAGAAGCACGCCTCTGCCTACCTCTGGTTTTCAGCACAAGAAATTCTGTGTCTAACACCTGTTTTCAATCTTCTGTTCCACTTCTCAAATCTTATTATATCTCTGCCTTTTCACACTTTGTAGTCTCTCTCTAATATTTGTTTGCAAAACACTAACTCATTTGTATTTCTATAATTACTGTGATTTTTTGTCTTCTCCTCTGTAGTGGTTCCTCCCTTCTGGCGGCATCTCTGTGACTACTGTTCTTCCATACAGTGACACAACTTGAGAGATGATCTCTTAGCTTAAGCGTGACCAGGCAGGCTTCTTTGATAATCAAGATATAATTGTGTTTCTAGAGCCACAACATTATCTTTCTTGTGAGATAATTAGTCTCTTGACTCATGACCTAATGAGCTCTAAGGGTTCCCATTTTTAAATAAGAGTATCTTGTCTACTATATTCTTTCTTTCCTGCTTCACAATTTGATAACCTCATGTTTCAAGAAATAACACAAGATGTCTTACAGGATTTTGTTTATCCATACAATATGCCTTTGTAGCATGAGATATCATATTTCTCAAATAAGGAAAAGAGACAAAGACTTAAGGAAATGATCAGAAAATATTGGGAAGAAAGTGTATCCTAAAACTTCCTGTCCTGTGATACTCCTTTGCTATTGTGGATTAAGGTTCATCGTGTATGCATTCTCTAAAATCTTTCTCTTTTTTTCATAAGTGATCATATAACTTTCTTAGATAATTCCCTTAAATAGAGTTTGTTCCAAAAGTAACTGCAGATCAGAACATTAGGACATTATACAAATTTCAACATGGCAGATCATCTTAGTGGCGCAATGGCATTACATGCACTTATAAGACAGGCATGGGGTACTCGTGGCATGAATTCTGCTTTCCAGACAAGGCATCCAGGTTGGCTCTTCAATTCTGGTGCTTGTATTCCTTTGACCTGTAAAAACAAGGTCTACTCTTCAATTACAATTTATTTTTAAATGTATGTCCTCAGAGGGCAGGGCTTTGCACTTGAATTTTTTGTGTGTGTAGTGCTCCACATTTTGCTTACTGTAGTAGATTAAATAGTACTCATGCACTAGGATGCCAAGTAATGCTATTGAAACAAAAAAGATACCTTTCAAATAATCAGCCCCTGGAGGAAGGTGCTGTCTATCTTTCTAGATCCACTTGGGAATCTAGAGATTGACAAGACTATAGAGAGACTCTCAGAGAAGAGTCATTATTGTCTGCGAATTGCCTCTTGGGCCATCAGAGACCTATGGAAGTCATGGCAGACACTGCCCAGAGTCCAGACATATACAGATGGTGGCTGTCAGGAGGTGACTCACCCTATGGATTACAGCATTTAACAAAGCAAAAAGGATTGCATTTTTAGACAGTAGTCAGAAAGCTCTCCTTTAGGCAACTGACTGTAAATTTAAAGGAACAGCTTATTATTTTAGCAATCTTGTTGGCATGGAAGGAAGATAGAATAAATTTGTATTGGTCAATTTAATACAATGCTCAGAGACTACTACTGAGCCAAAATTCCCACAGACTTCAAAGGGACAAATCCTCTAACTACAGAGGAACGTACCTTTGCTAACCTTTTTCAGTGTGTAGTTTATCATACTCCTTTCATTTGCAAACCAACTGATTTGACCCTCAGAATGTTTTTCTTGTATGGAGATTCCTTTTATTTTCCTAACTTAATCACAAACAGCCATTGATTTTATTTGCTAGATAAAAGGAAAGAGAGAGAATGAGATCTGAAAAATGGGCCCACTAAGACAGGCATTTTATAGACGAGAGCCAAATGCAAATCCAGAAGAAAGTTATTTAGTGAAATGCTAAAGTGGTCATTCATTCAAACTGGCACATCCTACTAGAAGCTATCTTAAATGCAGTATTGCCAAGCACTGTCATAAATATCACAGGCTAGAAATATATGTGTGCATGGAATAAGGATCATGTTCCTTCTAGGATGCAGCAGTATCTTCATCATCACCACACAATATTTATTAAGGGTCTCCCGGTACACATGCCACATTGGAAGGCAGAATCTTTATGACAAGCACACACAATAAGTTTATGAGTAAAAGAGGTTACAGCACCCTGAAAATCTAAAATGTAAGACAAATGACATATAACAAGTTAACATTTTTTACAGGGTGCGTCTCCTGGTGGCTGAGGGCTATGAAGATCGAATTCTGATGGCACATGACATACACACAAAGCATCGGCTGATGAAATATGGAGGTCACGGCTATTCTCATATTCTCACCAACATTGTCCCTAAAATGTTACTTAGAGGTATAACTGAGAATGTACTTGATAAGATACTAATAGAGAACCCTAAGCAATGGCTAACTTTCAAATAGGATGGTTGTTTATGAATTCACACCTTGAGCATCAAACTTGCCAGGAACATTCGGTGCTTTTAGACCCACTGTGAGTCATTCATTAGAGCTACATAGCACTAATGACTGATCATGTCCTTCTTATGAGAACCAGAAGAGTTTGCCTTCTCCGAAACTGGCTGACTTAAATCTGCACTTCTAGGGAGCTACTGAGCCTGAGCCCTATTGTTTTGCCTTAACAAAATAAATACAGAAAAGTATTTCCAAACAATGATTCAATGTCTATGTCCCCCAAGTGGAGTTTTTGTTTTTGTTTCCCCCCCCTAATTTATCAGCTGCACTACTTGAGAAATTTAAAGTGCTTCTAGTTAAATTATCCCCTTCTGGAGCAATCTAATGTTTCTTGTAATATTGATGATTCTACTAATCATCCTGCTGTTCTTTAATTAATGCTTAAATGAATAATATGGCACTTTAAACTAGCTTCTGCAGCAAAGGAAGTTAAATTTTGAGACTTTTTTTTTCAAAGGATACAATTACCAATTCACAACAATAAAAATATTTTGGAAGGTTCATTATATGTTTTACGTTATCCACCTATCTATAAATACTTACAATAAATCAGTTTGATGCTTTTGGTTTTCTGGTACCCATTTATGCTGTAAATTTTGTTTTGTTTTGCCAAGTTTGTATAAGAACACATAATAGTACTGAATTATAAAAGTCAAAATATATTACATAATATAGTTTAATGAATCATTACATTTATAATAACAAAGGCCACAATTTAATTGATAAGATTGAATGCCAAAAAAAAAAGAGAAAGAAAAAAAGAAATGTTTGCCTTATGTATATTCCCTTTATTTCCTTTACCTTTTATTTGTTTTTCCTTGGGCCTAAACACAGAAAATAATGTTCATTTATCTAAAGAAAAAGCCAGATCTATTGGAAATGACATTCTGCTTCTAGTGCCTACTCTTTAAAAGGTATCCAGCCCTGATATTTTAAGTAAATAAAGCCTTTTTAAAAAACTCTTAGTTAGGGCCGGCCCGGTGGCGCACTCCCGCTGAGGGTTCGGATCCCATGTGGAGACCGGTTCCCGCTCACTGGCTGAGCGCAGTGCGGGCGCAACACCGAGGATTGCGATCCCGTTACCAGTCAGTAAAAAAGACAAAAAAAAGGAAAAAAAAAAATTCTTAGTTAAAACACTAAGTTGATGTGTACTGCTGTTTGTAAATTAATCTACAGTGCGGGCGCAACACCGAGGATTGCGATCCCGTTACCAGTCAGTAAAAAAGACAAAAAAAGGAAAAAAAAAAATTCTTAGTTAAAACACTAAGTTGATGTGTACTGCTGTTTGTAAATTAATCTATGGTTGAATCCTCACTATTCAATTTAGTACTGAAAAAATTCTCCAAACCCTTGCCACTAATTCCTCTTTGATAAATATATATAATTAAATAAAAATAAAATCCATTGCAATTGATTTATGAGTTATCTTACATATTAGACTAAATAGAATTAATCATTATTCTTAATGAATGGGCTAAGTGTTTTTAATCATATAAATCACGACAGTTATTCACACTAAAGCATTTAAACAGAGCAAACAACACCTTCAGATGGAAACACCATGCATAACTTTTGGAAAGTTGAGGTTTGCTAAATAAAAGATATTTCTGCTGATCAAAAATGATCAAGTTTTCTGTGTATTAGAACAGAAAGTACAAAAGAGGAATGAGCCAGGAGAACAAACTAATTCCTTTAAATGGAAAAATGCAAATGTCCTTCACCAGTAAAACAAGCAGATTTTTAAATCTCTGTTTTTGAAATCTATTTGTCAAAGAATCTTCAAAGGCAACTGAAAGGGGAACATATTTTTCATTGTAATAATGGAAGTTATGTGATAGGCTCTATCAACATGCATTTTTAATATTTCCTTCGATTAAAGAGATGACTTTTGGCAGTGTATTTTAACCAAAAAGGACTTGCATTGCTCTTAAAATCTACTTTACTGTCAGCTTCAATCCACCTGAGAAAAAAGAAAAAGTTGAAAACTCAAATGCATATAATTAATACGCAGTGTGAAGGAAAACCACTCGCTTCTGCAGTCTTCATATTAGCAGTCTGCCACAGAATGCAGCGGAAATATTGATTGGCATATGGCAATAAAGCAACCATAGGCTTAACTTATGGACATGTGAAGTATAGGGCATTTTAATCTAGTAAAATTTAATTTTCTGGATAACTCTTAAAGAGAAGCCATTTTCATTATTTTGCTATTCCATATATATTTCAATCCAAAATAAGTCAAATAATTTATGCATATCTGTGTGTGTGTATATATACATACACTTTTTAAAATTAAATTTCTGAGGCTACATAGCCACTGTGCCTTTTGGACTCAAGCCATATATATATATATATTTATTTATTTATATAAATAAAACATTTCATCTAATATATATATATGTATATGTATGTGTGTGTGTTATATGGCAGATATTTGTGTAAAATATATACACTTTGTTGTCAGATTGGTTATATGTGAAATTGTTAATTTTGAAATAACCTCAGGCTACAGACTTGTAGTAACTATCCGAAGACCTTACTTAGTATCCCCTTGGTGACACATGCCATAGCTCAAATTAAACCTGTGTGCATTGGGTTATGAATAATCTTTTGTTCCAAAGAAGGCAAAAGCCTCAGTTTGATTTAATACTAAAGAATAAATTTCTCTGACTTTCTAAGTAAATCTAAATGTATTCAATTGACAAAATGGACACATAGGGGATTTTCCAAATACCATACATAATTACACATTTTCATACGTAGAAGGTAATCCTATGATACAATTTCCATCTCTATTTTTAAAGACTATCACCAGAAAAGAGAGAAAAGAAAATTCACAAGGAAAAGAAAATGTAAAAATGATCATAGGCGTGGGAATTCCCTCAAATCCAGAAAATTCCAGGTTAAGGCTTGAAGTTGAATCATTCCCAGGTCTAGCTCTAAAGTTAACAAGAGAACAAGGCAAACAATTTCTTTGGGGACAAGCAGCATTATTTCAATTCGACCTTCTCCAGTGGGGTAAAAGCATTCTTCCCCCACACTATGAATGGACTCCAAGTATCATATTAAGCAGGGAAACTCACAAGAACCAAAGCCGACGTAGCAGCAATATCACAGTACACCAAAGTATCATATATATTGAAGAAATAATTCAGTGTCTTAGATTTTTCTATAAAAATTTGTGATCTATTTAGGACTTCATTCACATGGACACTAACAATAGGAGTATTTGCTTTGGCGGTAGTGGATCACACATCTGCTTATCTTGCTTTTAATATTTTTTTACATAATGTTTCTGAGTGATACAGATGTGAGTCAGGTAGCATTTGATTTCCCCACATATACACAACTGAGGTGCCCTGCAATTGGCATCCCCTGGGATCCTTGATTCACTGACGTTAGCCATATGAATCCAGTGTTCAAACTCAGAATAATAAACTTAGTTTCTGCATTATCAGTCGGCATAAATAATAAATCCAGAAAACGTGCTGTATTTGTTGTTGTTTCCTCCATGGGCTTTCCCGCCATCTAATTTGATGTAGACTTCGTCTCCTGGCTCCAAATGAAGAACCACACTATTACTGGCATAGTCGTAATTCTGATCAGCATCTTGAGCAATGGCACTAGCACGCACCTGTGTGAAAACAGACAAGAATTAGAATTCATAAAAGAAAATTCTCAAATTTTCTTTCTTTGCCACTCACACAGAATCCTAAGTGGACTTGCTGCCATAGCACAGAATTTAGCATAGGAAAGTCCACCTCGGCCTCAGAGCTTTATGAGGATATCTCTGTAACAGTTTCAACTATGTTAGTGGAAAGGAGGAAAGAAAGGGAGAAAACAGGGCTTTAGTGAGGACAAACATTCCAGCACTCTTTCTAACTACACATTATAAACAATGCATACAATCCATTCCCTTCTTAAATCACTACTTTTTCTAATTTCTTGAATCTCTATGCCCAATCACTTTTTGAAGTGGAAATAAATAATAGTATTGTTTTGCATTTTAATTTAAGCCAAATAGCAACATTCTAACTCGCTGTTCATCAGTGCAAAAGTTCAAGTCTGAGTTCAGTTGGTCGCCACAATTATTAGAAAATTGAGATCTACGGTAGGTAAGGACCCAGGGAAATACCAACTATTCTACTGCATAAGATGAATAAAAAGGAAGAAAGCTCTTTGATTTAGTGCATTCGAAATACAATTCAAGTAAAGCCCCTTTTACCAGGCTACTTCAGTAGCTTAACTCATTTAAACATCTTTGGTTATGTCACCCCCAAGTTCTCAGAGTTCTTTATTCTGTTTGTGCTTTTTTATCTCTTAATTATGATTTGTGCACTTAAATCAACAACTTAATTTCAATATACCTAAAAGTTATAGAAGGAACTAAATTTCCATGAGTTGAGGTATCTCATTTCTAGAATTTTTGAGTGATTTCATTGAATATCCTTTTATATTTAGGTGATTCTAAATGTGTGGTTTGCTTTGAGAATAGGGCTTGCTTATTATAATCTGCTCATGTTGAGCCTGTGATCTCATTAGTGAGCTGATAGACATTTGCAAACAGTCATATTGCCTATCATATCATGTAATATGGACATCCTGTCACATCCTCAACTCAAATTAGGCTTCACATTCATTTAGATATATTTTGATTCTGCCTTGGAAAATCTTTCAATAGACAGATGTAGTTGATTTATTTCAATACAACATCTCCAACTTTGTGGCTTGTTTCTATTCTACTTTTAATGATATTTCTCTGAATAACCTAGCAAGTGATATAGTGGTTTTGTAAACCTGCACTATGTAATAATGCATGACTTGAGATGCAATATGCTGGATTTTATCACTTGGCAAAATGAGAGGAATGAGATGTAAGTCAAGAATTTCCATGTATTTCTTTCAAAATTTAAACGATAGGCTTTCAAATTAAATTTTCATGTGATACGTTCTCACATTAATGCTGAAATGTTAAAAAAGGAGAAGGCTCTTTGACACTGCTGAACTTGTAAAGTAATTTGAGTAGTATTTTAAAAATTTCTTTCTGGGTATCGCATAGCAAGAGGAGGAAAGGGCTTAAAGGATGTGGAATTGCTTAACACTATGCTAACTGGCAATAATATAATGAAAGCAAGATACCATGTAATTAAGCTCAGAAGCATTGACTCAAATGCATACACCAATTTAGTAAAGTGATCTGTTTTGACCATTAAATAATAACACAATTGAACTTCATAATATTTACTAGGAATTAATCATAGTTTGTAGGAGCTAAATGCTTTGATTCATTAATTTCACCTAGTCATTAATTCCCAGGGAGAAAAATCTACAAGGAGGATATTGTTATTATGACTTGATATTTTTTAATGTGTAGATTTTTAATGGGTGAGAAAAATTAAAATATAAAATAGTAATTAGCTATATTAGTACTATATTAATTAATTATCAATCTATAACATACTTCTCAGCTATTATTAATAACCACACACAGATTTTAGTCAGTGCTTTGGGTGTTCAGTATACTGTGCTTTAACATTGTTTTCTACATGAAGGCATTTGAGAACCAGGACATATTAAAATGACTTGATTTAGAGACAATAATCTTTAAAAATATATAATGCAGTTTTTATTCTATAAGGTATAACCACAAAACGAAGTAAATGCTATCATTTTTATTCAATAGGTGTAACCATAAAAACCTGCAAATGTATCAGTGATTCCACCAACTGGCAGGTTACCCTTACGGTTTTTACTTCCTTTGTTGGATAAAGCCGGTGTGATTGCTTTTTAATGAAAGTAATTCTCTAAGATTTTAACCTATACTGTACATTAATACTTTCCCAATTAAATAATTGCCATACTCCAGTGTACTTTACATGGTTTTAGTATGCCTGCTCACCTGATCGTACTCTAAAGGTGTAATGGGACTTGAAATTTCAAGCTCTAGTATCCAGCTTACTGACTGCAACAATTCTTCCTTTAAGCCATCAAACTATTGAGGAAGGTAATGCATTCATCCTGAAGGCTATTTTCAGGTTTCTAAATGTACACTGATTTTAGCATTTTGTCTGGGAATATGTGCATCCTTTCCTTAACCCAATATACCCATTTCTTCCTAAATTTACTCTAATATCTTTCCTTATTATAAGTTCACTATTTAGATTCTGTTTTATCTTTAGTCCATGTTTTACTGCCCCTAAAAAGATAATTAATTTGACATGTCATTAATCTCTCTAATAAATGAATATCAACCCACAAGCTATTCATTCTTTCCAATATATTTTATGTTCATTGGTGCCATAACTAGTAAATTCTTAAAAGAGTAAAACTTGGTCTCTAATTATTTTATAGGTCTAATCCTGAGCCAGTTTTAGTTTTTATTATAGTGGTTTATAATAGTGGTATTATAGTGATTGTATTCAAACAGCAATTTTTTTTAGGTTTTCTGCTAAAAGTATACAAACATTAAAAATATTTCTTGTATTTATGTAAAGCTATTTGAATTCAGCTTTTATCTATAATATGCACTGTCATGGGCTCTCAACAAATGGTAAGATTAGATTTAGGTTGATGGTTTCTTGGGGAATATGAGAACTGTGCTCCTTTTAGTGATATGTTTGTGAGAATGTAATAGGTTGTATAGCTTTAGCATTATCTTATTAGTAAGGGTTTATCATTAGAGACAATATTTATGGTAACATTTGCTAATTTAATTAATTGCTACTGATGTTCTCATAATTTCATTTTCATTGTACTTCTGTGGAATCATAAACAAAAGGTTAAGTGGCTCATCAGGTTAATTTACTGGCCTTTGATGTTTCCATCTGTGATCCTACATTCAACACAAAGCATAAATAAAATGGCTCTCATATGGTTATGGTCCAGAGGAATTGCTCTTTCCTGGAGTGAACTGCATTTTTAGTTTAATTTTTGTGCTTCTCAAAATCCACTTAATCCTTAGAACATTACACTGACATGGATCTCTGAGTTTCTGTTTTATGAAAACAAATTAGGTCAGCTCAGAGGGGAAACTGCCATTCTAAGAAGTGATCAGACAAGGGTATAATTGAAAATCAAGGATAAAGTATTTATTTAAAATTAATAAAAAGAGATTTTACAAGATTTCTCATTTGTAACTGCCTGCAGTCCAGACTTTACAATAGTTTTATCCTAGAGATAAAATTCCTTACCAGTGATATTGTAATAACCATTTTCTAAAATAGTTCACACTGAACTCAAAAATATATTGTTTACCACTATATATTTATTTTCTGAATTACCTGTTGCATAACTTTTACAAAAGTGGCAGTTTAATATTGTCAATGGAAAGCATTATACATTATAAGGTCAGCTGTTTTACCTTATTTTTTTTCCCTGATCCTCATAGAATGTGTATGCTAGAGTGATTCAAAGGAGCATTTTACCTCCCAGCAATGAAATTTTAAAAACAGGATGCACACAGGACACCTACATAGAATGGATTTCTTGGAATCTATATAACCTACACAGGCTCAGCAGTCTAGATGTCAACATTTAAACTAATTTAAATTTATTATTCCTGGTTTTTCATGCGATTGCAATTTCCAGATATTTAAAGTTGTGACCATTTTTTATACATTTGCTGACAAAACTGGAATCTAATTCCATTTTAATTGATACTTCTAAAAATCTCTTCAGCTGCATAGTATTTTCCAGACCTAACCTTTGAGTCAGAAGGGAGCCAATTTGTAAATAAACGGGTGCCTCTTAGCTGCCTGCTGAGGGACTGTTAGTAAACCATTTTGTTCAGAAGACACAATAGCTCTATTTTTGTGCCGTGAGTCATGCCATTTTTAGCCATTTACCAATAACTATCCCGTTGCTTTGTGAATAATTTTTATTTATCTTATTATTTTCATACCTAATAACAATAATAAACAACTCTATCAGTGCCTCCTGGTGGCCATTTTTTCTTTTTGTTCTATGTGCCCTGAGGGTCCCTTAAGCTGTTTGTAAGAAAGGATAGAGACAGGACTTTTTTTTTGTCCTTTCTCTCTTATATATTTAGGACATTTGTCTTTCACTTTTGAAAGAATTCTGACCCTGAATTAGGTCTTTAAAAACAACCCTGCTTTAGTGGTGCTTAATAGAAACCCGGGTTATAGCTAAGAAGGTCTGAATTTCCAGGGGACGAGTGATACGAACCTCAATAGCCCTTGTTAAGTCAAAGTTGCTGCATGAGACGAGGCCTCGTGATGGCGATGGAGGGGTCGCCGGCCATTCCCGATGCCACTCGATAAGCAAAGTTAAAACTCAGGAACTCAGCCCAAACTGAGGACTGTCGGCTGCAAGGCCTCTCCCCAATGGCTGCTGATTCGGCGTGTATAGAGGTCCGATTACACTTTTAGGTAGTTACAAATATTATTTTCCTCCACTTACTAAGAGATCAAACACGGTTCGGTTTTGCAGGGACCGCGAATTTCCTCAGCAAATGGTAAAGTGGCCCTCTGCACAGCACTGTAGACCCGTGGCTCTTGCGGCAGCGCCGACCAGCTCAGGAGATCTAGACCTCGTGGTCCTGGGCTAACCTGAAGCTACTTAACAGTCAAGGCCAATGCCGCGTGCGAGCAAAAACGCTGGGGTTGGAAAGACCCCCACGCAGGCGGCCTGGGGCCCGCTGGCGGGGAGGCCCATGGACCCCGTACCGGGCTCGGACCTGTCGCCCTCCTGGCCACCTGCCCGTGCGTCCTGCTACTCTAGTCTGTAGTTTGGATTCTCTGTTTGGGTGCGTGTTGTGTTTTACGGCGTAAACCCCTGAGTCTCAACTTTTCCTTTTGTTATCAGCACGCTTTGCCTCTCCCCTCTTCTTCCGCTGGAAACTAAACCCGAGCGTCTTGAAATTGACTATGGGTGAGTTTCACGGCCGGGGACCTGCAAGGGCACTTTTCCACCGCGCGCCCCACAGCACCGCCTTAGATGCGCCCCGCTTGGACTCGCTCCTTCGGGTCCCTTTTTTCTCCCTCGGGCCCTTGCGTATCTCCCCCGGGGTTGTCACCCTGACACGCCCATTCCGGACTCCCTCAGACATCCCCATGCCCGGGAAAGCCTGTAAGCGGCCCTACGCTGCTGAGGATCCCACGGCCGGAGGTCGCTTCCTGCTCCGGGACTCCCCCGGTGCAGGTGCAGGCGATGTCCGGGGAACCGAGCTCCCGGCTTCCCGCCCCTCGAGGGTCGCGCTTCACGCGCGCGCACCTAGTGCTGGTCCGAGACTCCGGAACCGCCCTTTCCAAGCTGCGGGGAGCCCTCCGTCGCTCACGACCCCTAGGTGTCCCGGGTGGAACCGCGTCCCCCCTCGCCGGGGTTCCCGGGAGCTCGGCTGCCGCGCCCATCCTCAGCGGGGCTCCCACTCCCATTTCCGGGGTCTCCTCCCTGTCGCCCGCACCTTCCCGCGCTCCCTCCCCGCCCTCACCTGGTTGTTTTTGCAGAGATCAGCCCACATGCTGGTGCCATCCCCTCCGCGCATCAGGACGTGGTAGGTGAAAAAGTAGATGCCCGGGATGGAGCAGGTGAACTTGCCCGTGGTGGGGTCGTAGTGGTTTCCGAGGTTGGTGACCACGTCGTCGAACTTGAGCACCTCGTAGCCTTCGTGCTGCCGCTTGAGGCCGGCGTAGAAGGCGATCTTGGGCACCGTGCTGTAGGTGGCGGCGCTGATGGCCCCGGCCGCGTTCAGGCCGGGCGCCCCGGGAGGGCCAGGCAGGCCTTGGCGGCCCGGCTCGCCCTTCTCGCCCGGGGGCCCCAC